AGACTGCGTGCTAGTCTGCGTCGCGAGAGCCAACAGCGGCGCATGCGTGAGCGTCAACTGGCCTCGGCAGCCCACCGGAACAGACGCAGTTCGGTCACCGTCGGCGGTTATGGCGACGACGACAACAGTCTCGACGAGGGAACCTCCATCTCCCTGGCTGCGATCAAACGCGATACCAAGGCCGGTCGCAGTTCATCCGGCAGAAAGAGTGAGCTTGTCTTTTTTCCTCTGGTTTTGACCTGCTGCCGCTGCGCTCGGTCTATGCTGATACTATCACATTTTGAGTGGAGATTGCCCTGGTTTAGGTTTTTATCGGAGTTTGAAGGAGGGAAATGCGGCGAGGTATTCAAAATTGAATGTCATCATAAAATCCCGGGGCCTTGTTAAACTGCTCACTGTCTTTGAATGTTTGTAATATTAGCTGTTCTCGTGCGGTTGCTGGTGAGGTTCAAGATTGAGCCCCACAGAACAAAGGGACGAGTGCGTCTCGTAATGCGATGGGTGAGCGCTGGTCTATCCTAAAGGGTTATACTTGTTATATGCTGAAAGTTCGTTATCAGTCTCTTTGCTCTGTCTCCCACGCACCAGCCATGCAGGAATGGGGTTGAGCGTAATGCCTAGCGTGACTTGAATATTTCCATATACGCTTGCCACAGACAGCGAGTGCGACGTACGGTCTCATGCGTGATCCAGGTCAGTTTAGGCTGTTTCCCCACGACACTGGTCGTCTTATTAAGGGATGCGCTGCTCCGCCCATCATGCCCCTTCATGACAATCATTACAGTGAGGGGGAAGCTGCCCTGCCTTAGAGCGACCCCCTCCTCCGTCCCCTCATGCAAATGACTGACTATCGTCCGGGCGACTGTGCTACTGCAATCACGCTTGAAGCGATTTCATTGTAATCCAAATTCGTTTACCAACATAACCATCCCCTCCCCTCAAGCCATGCCTACCCGTATTTCTGATCAATGTTCCCCGTTTTTTTTAAATTTACCCCGTTTATTTGTCGTAGGATATTTTCTTAGTAAACAGTTTATCATATAAATATGCAACGGCTGTAAGCAGCTACGTAAGAGGTCGCATAATTTTTCATGGTGTCATTAATTTCTGTTTTTTTCTCTATCAGAGGTCTGCGATATAGTAAGTGGTCGTCTCCTTACGACCCCTTAACTTCCAAAAGTGGGGCTGGTATTTCGGAGGTTTCGACGGCATCAGTGTGATT